AGGAACCATCAACGACAACTGCATGAAATCGCCGTTGCCAAAGACGCAGGTGCCTCACTCAGTAGATGGAGCACTCTGCCTCGGCGCGGCGGAAAGCATCCGCAAAGAAGGACTGCATGGCCGTGTAGTGGAACAGGATACCGCCGAGAACGGCCAGATGCCACAGGTTGTGGCTGCCGCCGATGTAATCGAACATGCCGGGACACCACCTCTCGGGGATCTTGCTGGCGTACACGAAGGCGCCCAGGAGGTAGACGAAGATGGACTTTGCGATGGGCGTGTAAAAGGTCCACACAAAGTCTGGGCCGTGGGAGAAGTACAGCTGCAGGATGGGCAGGAAACCGGTGGCGCCAAGGCCGACGAAGAACGCAACGCGGGCCCACGCCATGTCTGCTCCGTTGAAGGTGGGGTGCCAGGGGAGGATGACGCCGCCGATGCCGAGGAAGGCGGTGGTCGACATGTACGTCCAGCGGCTGACGGGGTCGCAGTAGAAGGCGGTGTATTCGGTGGTCACGATGGATGCGGCGATCAGCAGGGAGATGCCGGTGTAGTCGACACACGCAAAGATGGAGATTGCGTCGACGTCCGCGACGGCGTTCATGGTGTGCCAGATGGTCGAGCAGACCAGCGTCAGGCACGCGGTGAAGAAGAAGACGGCGGCGATGAAGATGTCGGTCTTGGTGCTGAGGGAGAAGTTGACGTTGCGGGGGTAGAAGTAGAGAGCGACGGCCAGGACGATGAACAGGCCGATGGCGTGAGACCAGATGTTGACGAGCTCGTTTGAGACGCCAAAGGCGGACCAGATGCACTCCAGCTTGGACTCGGTAAAGCGGTAGCCGTTGCGGATGTGCGGGTTGATGCGCCACGGCATGGGCAGGTCGTCGTAGGTGATCAGCTTTGTCGTCCTCGCGCGTTCAATGGCACGCTCAATCGTCTCCTCGAGGCTCTCCGCCGCACGCTTGGCCCGCCCGATACTCTCATCCACGACCTCGCGGGCGAGCTCGATACCGCCGTCGACGACCCTGCGTCCCTCGGACATGAAGGCTCCGGCGGCGCTCGTAGCGCTGGCCAGGCTCTGCTCGCGAAGCTTGTAAGCGCGGCTCTCGTACTCGGTGAGCATGTCGTCGAGCAGCTCGATGCCGACGCGGGCCTTTTCGTTCAGGGACTCGGCGGAGGCGAGGGCGTCCTGGTAGCGGGCTTCCAAGGTCTCGACCATGATGTGCAGGCGCCTGCGGCCTGCGCCGAGGACTTCCTCCGAGGCGTGGGAGCATCGTGCGCGGACGGTCTGGAGGGTGGAGAAGGCGCGGGATATGCTAGAGTCGAAGGTGAGCTCGCCGTATTCTTCAATGAATTCGAGGCGACGCTCGAGCTCTGTGAGGAAGAGGTCAACCTGAATTTGGTGTAACGAAGCACATGTCAGTCATTTCTCTCTTGGTCCGATGCTCGGGTGTAGTGGGGGAGGTGTAACCAAACAAAACAAAACACCCTTGCAACCGCAACTACAACCACCGCCTCAGAACTCACCTTCAACAGCAGATGCTCCTCTCCGTCCATGATGTGGCTGACGATTGACTTGCGTCTAGGGATGAAGAAAGAGTGTCGTCGTCTGCGGGCGAGTTCGGTGCCTTCGGGCTGGGCTCCGGAGGTGGTGGCCACGGCGATGTCTTCGTCGTCGTGGACGGCGGCGCCGGAGCAGGGGGACTTGAGCGAGGTCATGTTGACGAGGGGGTCCATTACTCTACTGTGTTTTAAACGATACAGAAGTCGTTTCCCAAGCTCGAGGGGTTCGGCCTCGGCAGGAAGGGATACAAACAAACGCCTGCAGCCGATTAAGTCTCCGCCGGTCTGTAACGAGTAAAAGCTACCGTAGTGTTGGAGTTCTGGGGCTGGCAAGCAACAGGTTGCACCCGGTATATTGCAGCAGAAACGATGGCGGCTCTGCTTTGGAGGTTGTGTTTAGTTGTGGTGGGTTGCAGTTGCGGCGAGCCGTCGGTGTTGACTTGCGAAGCCACGGGTGGGAGGCGAGGGAATCAATTGGCTTATACTCAAAGTCCGAAGGGGGGGCCCAGCGAGAATGGGGGGGGGTTTGTGTGTGAGTGGGACACGGCGGAAGAGCGGATTTTGGGCGCTATGCTATCGGTTTTTTCCTTTCCTTCCTTGGCTTCTCCACGAAATGAAATGCTTCTAGTCTGTTGAGGGAGGAGGGGGGCCGATTTGCGGGCGGGATCTCAACAATGCGGTAGTGATTGGTCCGGGGGCCAAGAGAGTGCGCAGCTAGAGGTAAAAAGACGTGCAGATCCGTAAGATGCCTGGACCCTGAAGAGTGGTGTGTGGCAGCAGCCCGGGGGCGGCGAGACGAGGAACAGGAGGAGGCGAACTGTGACTTTCTTGGGGCGACTGGCTTGTGAATGCTGCTTTGCTCCCTGTGTGTGAGACTGCAGGAGGTTGTTTGCACGTGTGTGGGTGTGAAGTAGTCTTCGTTCGTCCAGCCTTTTGGTATGTATGTGCCTCAGATCGGGAAGATAGGGATGGAGCTTTGGGAGGACGGGAGCAGGGGCGAGAGACAGAGAGCGGTTGAGCGGATTCGAGCGCAATTATGAGACGGATTACTGTTGCTATCGTTGCTGCTGCTGCTGCTGCTGCTGTTGCTATTGCCGCTGCTACAGTGCTTTGTTGTTTGTGGCGGTCTCCAACGTTAGGAGCCGAGTCGTGCGGCGAATACGCAAAAAGGACGGCACGGATGATTTGTCGGTCACCGAAGGCCGGCCGGACAGAACCATAGACACAAGAGAGGATGGAAGAAGGATGAGAAGTCGAGATTGAGAGAGAAAAGAATTTACAACGAAGGAGATGAATAGGACCAACAAGCCCGCCAAAAAGGCTGGGCGAGGAGCTGGAGGAGGAGAATAGATTACTTTACGAATACACGAGCACACGACCGGGGTCTCTCTTCGGTCTCGGAGCAGGTGGACGAAATGGTCATGGGGGGGGATGGGGAAGAGGAGGAGAAGAGAGATCCGCACCGGAGGGAAGTGGGAGAAAACAAACGGCAAAAGGAACGTCTTTGGACTCGTCTGCCGCTTCGCCTTTCGCTTTGCATTGCTTAAAAACTTACTGCATGGCTACTACTACTTCTTGCTGCTAGGTTCTCGACGCTTGCTAAGGTGGGTTTTAAGATTGCATACGAAGCCTGTATGGACATGTCCAGCAGCGCAAAAACAACAACGACAAAAGGTCTGTAGCAGGCTAACAGCACATGGACTGCCCAGAAAAGGGATCCTCCCGCGCGCAATGCGGAAATGGGAAGAATGCACTCATGGGCCACGGATGAGGAGGGACGGCCCTCTGGCCCTCTCTGAATGGACGTCCGGTAAAGTTCGGCCCAGCGCGCATCGTGGCGGATCAGGCGCGCCACCAATAGCGTCATTCGACATCCATGCCGCCATGCATTCATTGGATTTGGGATTTGGGGGAGACAGTCCCGTCCCAATCCCTAGGTTGTGCAACCCAAGACAGACAGCCCTGAAAGACACCGCATTGCTGCAGGTTCGGACCTGGGCCGCCGGTGTCAATGCCTGTGACCGCCCAATTGGAGCAAGTCGTACCTTGCGGATGGGTGGAGGACGTCCTGCGTATGTGCCTGTTGAGGCATGAGTGAACTGCGTCCCCCCCCCCCCACGCACTTCTCTGAATAAAGCAGCTGATAGCGCTTGAAGAGGAGCCCGGCGGAGGGCAGAGGATGTTGAGAATCAGTAATACACATGTAGCTCGACGATCCCTGGTGAGGAGCATACTGCATAAGGTAGCTCGAGACTCTTGGCCAGATGCAGTATGCGGTGAGAAACTTGTTTGCGCAATGCCGTGCGTTTCGGAGTCTTGGTCTTGTCATCTTCAGTCTCGCTCTCTTTCCCTCTTCCCAATGCTCATCCGCGCTCTCTCACAAGACTCCGATACTCGTCCGCCCCCTAGCGTGCCTGGTGATGGCAATTCCTCAAGGCCGCCATGTCTAGCCCCAAGCGCCATGGCGATAAACGCCTGCTAGCGAAATTCGGGACAACGCCCAATCTCATGCCCAACACATGTCTGGCTTTAGTGTATCCGTAGTGCCTGCCGTTCGAGGACTGCCCTGGTAGAGACTCAAAGACTGAAATCCCATTCCGTACCCCACGGCCCGTGTCTTGCCTTTCCAGACATCATCGCCTCGGTACGTAGTGCTAGCTTACTGCTCAGTGCTCAGCCATCTGAAGACTGACGAGTCCCAAGGAAACGATGACCGAGGCCAAGCAAGCGTGGGAGTCCAGCGAAGCATCCGCCCTCCAACTAAGACCTAAGACCAGTGGGACGCGCGTGGATGACTGAGATGACTGACTGGCCCAGCGGCCCCAAAACATTGGGACCCTACCTCCGACCTACCACACCTTAGGTACCTACCCTCCGAGAGCCCATGGGTGGGACGGCACGCCGTCCGTCTGCAGGACCAGCGGGCATGGCGGCAGCACCGTCCTGCTACCCGCGTCCACTGACCAGTAAACCCGACCTCGCTGGGGCACGGTCCCCGCGGCTGCACCAATTTTCTGCAACGTCCGCCTTCTCCCACTCCGCCTTGCTGCTGTTGCGTTGTTCTACCTAGCTGAGCTCCCCATTCTTTGAGACTTCTGTGATCCGAGGCGAGACGAAGCAAGGCGAGCGAGGCCCGACGACCGGAAGAAGCACACGCACCGTCGTACGTACCTCTGACCCTTGCACCAAAGAAAGGGCCCCCCGTCCGTCCCGCCAAAACGACGCCCGAGCCGTTCTTTGTCCCGCCCTCCGAAGCAACACCACCACCCCCTGTCCGATTCCGATCCCATCCTTCAGCCTTGCGAACGCGGTCGCGCAAACCGGGGCCAGACCGACGACACGATCCCCAAACGACTCAGCCGCGTTGTACGCTTCCGCTATCGACGGCATCATCTCCCACCCGTCCGATTCCACCTCCGCAGCATCATCCCCCACAAACGATGGCGGTCAACGACCTGGTATCCGACCCGAAGCTGTCCGTGGTCCTGCAGACCTCCGGCTACGCCCAGGACCAAGCCGCGAAGCTCCTGCAGCTCCTCACCGAGGTGTCCGCGGCCGGCGAAGCCCTCACCCCCGAGCTGCAGGCGGGCCTCTCCAAGGAGCAGAAGCTGCTGCTCACCAACATCTCGCACCTCCGCGGCCTGCATCGCGCCGCCAACTTCACCGCCAGGGAGACCAAGGCGCAGACCGCCGAGGCGCGCCACGAGGTCGACCGCCTGCACCTGCAGCTGCAGAACCTCTACTACGAACAGCGACACCTCGAGGGCGAGATCGAGGCGTGCGAGTCCTACGAGTACGTTGCAGCCACGAAACCATTGAACCAGAGTTTGCTGACCGCGAATCGCGCAGCCATACTTACCAGAAGCTTCCCCTCATCCCCGTCGAGGAGTTCCTCGCGCAGTTCCCCGAGCACGCCGACGCCGACGAGAACGCCCTCATGATTGCGCGCATCGGCCACGAGCGCGCGGAGCGCGAGACCCTCGAGCAGCAGCGGCTGGAGCTCGTGGGGAGGAAGCAGAAGCTCATCGCCGAGAACAAGAAGAGGAAGGACGACCTGGCGAATCTGGACAAGGACCTGGAAAAGTTTATCGATGTCAGTCCACCACCCGCTGTCCGTGTGAAGGCTTAAGCTGACGTTCGATACAGGCTGCGAAACCAATCCAGGAGCTCTTCGAGAAGGTCGTCTGAGTGCCTGCCGTGTCAGATACAATCCTCGGCAAGCACGTGTGTCACGACCGCAATCTTCTGGCTGGCACTCTGCGAACAGAAAGAATGGCCGGCGTCTTGTGCCACAAGCTACCGCAGAGCGGCCATTTTTGTTTTTCTTGTATCGTGGGGGGCTGGGTTTTACTTTGACCGTGATCACTCAGATGAAGCATGGTTGCTATTACCACGAACTGTTCCGCCATATCTCCGACCACGAATGGAATAACCCGAACTGACGACTTGACGGGGACGGGGATTCTGGGCGGGAAGGACGCCGTAGGTCCTGGTGTATCGAATCTCACCTCGGCACAGGTCCTCCATCAGGGAAATAAAAGGTCAGTCGGGGCGAGATGAAAGCGAGGGGGCGACCGAACATGTCCGCTCCCCGCCCTCGCTTGGGAGATGGAGCTCTCGCGGCAAGGTGCCCGAAGATATCTCGGCATCCTCATCACTAGGTGGACACTGTATGCACCCCGGCGGAGGAAAACAAAAGTTGAGGGATTTTGGGTTGCAATCCCTCGAGCCGCGTTTCCGAGAACCGGCAGATACGGACAGCAGCGGGTTTACGGATATGGAAAGCGAGAGCGTGGCTGTTGGAGTCTCCAATGGACGGAGGCTGCTGGTTCTACCTACTACAATATGCCACATTCGGGAGCGCGGCCAGCGTCATCTTTCGTCACGCTGTCGTTGCTTGCGAGCTTGAATGTTAATGCAATCCGACACATACGCCGTTCAGCCCTGTGAATGCCATTGTGACACTGTGACTGCCGCGGGGCCCGCTAAGAATTGCCGAGGCCGTTGGGACATGGCATGCGGGACGTCCAATTTGTTCCCCGTCACCGGCCCGCCGCCACTTGGGGACTCCGAACGAGACGGCATATGGCCGGTCGTCGATCAAGCGGTCCGGCGACATGGCAAACGAAGCACGCGTGCGTGGGCTTGATTGAGGATTCCTCCGTAAGGCACAGAGAGCGCACGCACAGGGCAGCCCAAGGTCTCACCTCGGATCCGGCATAATACGACAAATGTCAGCCCCGTACGCTGACTGGTTGGTCGATCCGTCCGGCTGTCGGGGATGATGTACGTTGGCTTTTGTGAGACTTTATAAACCCGGGGGATTCTTTTTTGGCTTTTTCCTGGTCGGAGGGCGTCTGGGGCAAGGCCGTTTCATCGGTGCCTTCGACGAAGTACATGTCCCAGAACAACCTTTCCCCCTCGACTCAGTCAGGGAGCATGCGGCATGCGGGTGCCAAAAGGGCCCCGTCAGCTTGCTGTCACTGAACTTGATCAGATGTAGATTGTCTCACAGTCGCTTGGGCCAGACTGTTCGAGAAACAGGTCTGAAGGAAGGAATGGTGGGGGAGGGCGGCGACGAGATGGTGGTTGTCTCCAGTTCATGAACCTGTCACAACCCGTCGGACATTAGAAAAAGTCCCTTGGGCCCAAACGAATTACATATCCCTCCTCACCACCCTCCCCGGGGCCTGAAATCTGCACGCGCGGAAGTTGCGTAGAGTTCGCTTTGCGTGCGGCGTGGAGAAAAAAGTGTGCCCATCCTTTGAGTGTTCTTGCAGGAGCCTGTTTCAAGATCGTTTCCTGCATTTCGACGCAGGAGCTGGCTCCCCGTCGGCCGACTAGACGGGTCCGCCGATACACTCATTGGGAGTTGGGTGTGCAGAATGGCAGCCCGACGGCTTTGGGGCGAACCCTCTGAGTCGCAAGAGGTTGAGACATGCCACTTTTCATCAACCGGACGAGTCCGAGAGCTCCCATCGTCAACGGGGTGAATGTCTCAAGGGCGAACCCTCAACCATGCCGTGGGTTAGGTGGTTTGCGAGCGAGACAGCAAGAGGGTGCGCAAGGTTTCTTTAGAGAGCAGCCTCGCTGCTGATACTTGCGAAATTGCTCGCATACTGCCCGTGGCTCAACCCCGTCCACCCCGTTAAAGTGCCCCTCGACATCGGATGTATTGTACCGATTTCGTCGTTGTTGATGATGAATCAGCGTGCCTTGCAACCGAGGTCGCAACCAACTCGAGTCAAGTGCTTCCAACTTTAACTGCAAGTCCACATTGGCAGTGATCGAGCAAAGGAGCCAATAAGAGTCGCAAAGCGTGACTGGCTACTTGTGAGTCTCTTGGACCACCAAGACAGCCAAGACAAATGCGCTATCAGTAAATTATAATCACTCACTGTCGATGGCAGTTGGATCGAGCCAAGGAGCCAAGACACACATAGGTGGATGGGGGTCCAGTGGTGCAGTACCAGACGCGGCCTTTCACCGTTGGTGGTGTGATGGATGTGAAGTGCAGGGCACGCCTTTGCAGCCTTCCTGGCCCCTTGGCCTGCTTTCCTTTTCCAATCACCCGCCGACGCGTCTGCATGTGGTGTAGTTAATGGCGATCCGCGGGTGCGGGTCAACGTGGGTGCCGCGATACCAAGCTTGGAGGGTGGCCGGTCTTGGGGAGGTTGAGTGTCAACTGACAACCGACACAAAGACTCCGATCCCAGCCCAGCAGGCCTCAAGACGCCGACGGCGACCTCCTTGAAGAGCCCGATGGAATTGACGAGAAAACATGTTGGCAGCCGGGCAATTCTTCTGGCAGGACTGGTTGGTTGGTCAGGTATCGCGTACGTGGAAACCTGGAACTCCAGGTCCGGCCTTGTTGGCCCACAGCGGCCAGTCAGATTCGGAGCTTCAGAAACGTTCAATCTCAAACGCCGGCCCGCCAAGGGTTTGTCCACCCCACCATCCGGCACGTCCCCCTTTCACTTTGTTCTGTTGCTTGCGCTGGGTGCCAACCGTCATTATGTCACCGACCGGGCCCATTGACCATGGAAGTCCGCGGCACCGGTATCTCCTTGTTGATGCCGCCGCTGATTAAGTCTTGGGAGCTCGCGGGGGATGCCATGGCCTCTGCTCTATCAGCGTTTCTCAGCTGAAGCAGCGGATGATGTGCACATCGCCTCAGCGTGTCTCCAGCCTGATACACCCAGCTCGCGAAAACCAGGAAGCGCTCGATGCGCTCGCCCGTCGTGCTGACGAACAAAAGCCCGTATCCGTTTCTTCTCAAGGCTGCATCGTCCAGTACGGCGAAAAGCAAGCACTCGCTTGTGATTTTGAAATTGCGGAGGGCTGCGGAGACGTTTCTATAAGCCGAGCGATACTTGGCCAGAGGGCGGCGGCGTGGCGAGACATCAAGTACCCAAACCATTAAGATACCTCTCGAGTTGGGACTGCACTGGAAGGACAAGCACAATCTGCTGCAGGGATGGTCGCCGCCGTCTTTTCCCTGCCTGCCTTAGTCCTTGGGCCCTGGAAGCGCCACTCCGTCTCCGTGCACCGTGGTGAGATGTTCGCTGGTTTGCTCGTGTCGCATACGAATCTCAAAAGTCTCATGCACCGATACTTTCACTCTTCTCGCCCTACCTACTATTAGCATAGCACGCGTCTGACCTCGCCGTTGCTGTTCCTCATTAGGCGCGAAGGAGAGGCGCTAGGTCATGCCATCAACTGCGATGGCACGGATATCAGAGATGGCTGGGATCGCGGTGAGCGCGGGACCTCGAAAGAGCTAGCTGGCGGCGCTGGTGATTCGGACGACATGTTGCGGCTCCTCGTGGTGCCATGGCTGTTGTTCAACCCCACGACCAGCCATCATTATGATGATGATATGCGCTTGTCGAGCACATGATTATATCGGGCGGTGTGACTAGGACCACCACGTACGCGACTTGCAGGTCGAAATCTCCCGTCCCGATTGCCGTCGCGGCTGGATCCTTACAGGCCTGGCCAGAGCGCCATGCTTTTTTCGCTCTTCTGAATGATTTGCGCTTCAAAATTTTCTCATTTGGTGGTTGCGACTCTGAATAGGAGAGAACGAGGGGAACAAAAATTGGAGAATGGGTCTCAGTCTCCCATCATTTCGCAGCAGCGGTATCCCGGCTCGCCACGAGATCCCAGGCCGGCTCGCCAGCCGGTGACGAGTAGTGTTGGAGGAGGGGAACGCACTGTGACTGGGCTGGCTGGTTGGCTTGGGCAAATGTCAGACTCGGCGAGGGATTGGCACCAAATGAAGGTTTGCGATGGTGGGACGACCAAGAAAAAACATCGTAGGGCCTCGGCCACGAGCTAGTTTAGCAGAGCGCAATCAATCGTCGTGACCCCTGGCAATGCGTGCGACGGTCTCGTCAAAGATCGAATGCCATGGGATGACATTTGTTGTAGGCGGACAAGGAAGCAATCAAGCAAACAGACAGACAGCAGCAGAGGCCTTGTCCCGCCTGGCATTGCCTGCCCTGTCTGCCTGATGTCGATGGCCATGTCGCGAATTGCTTGCGTGGGCGCGTTCGCATTTCGCTTGTCGTCTCTCTATCCGCGACCCTCTTCAACCGGCATCCCTCGCCCAGCTCCTATGACGACGTTGCCGCAGTATGGCTACAGCGATGACGACGGCAGCCACATGTAGCCAGGCCATGCTGGGCTCCAAGCCCCAGCCGCTGGCTTCTTGACAGCAGACAACTGTAACCTCGCTGGGAGAACCGCCAGCGATCACCAATACGCTGCGGCGGCGAGGATGTGGCCAATAGCAACGAGCGCCTCTAGCCCTGGCTGAGCCACAATTTGCTCCGCTTGGCGTACGTACCACTTGCAGACGGGACGGAGAGAAGCGACAGCAGTGCAGTGCATAGCACGCTAGCCGTGCCACTGTCGCAGTGGTCGACGAACTGACCTGAAGCTCTCTCGACTGTAGTCCCTAGGTAGCGTGGTACAAGCAGCAGCATCTGCCCGCCATGTATCTCGATCCGGGTTCGCACGCATGGCAAAGAAGTGCAGCCACGGCGGGTGGCCTGGGGAACCGTCTTTGTTCCGTGACCCTGAGGCACGTATGGCGGGATCCATGGCGCGTGGCTGCGAAGTGCTGGCTCGTCTGCGCCGGGCACACACACGGGTTCGCGCAGTATGCGCGCCACGGGCAAATC